TTATCTCCCTACCAGAGGAGTTCTGATGGTGGAAAAACTTACCTTTATTTTCCTGCTTTGAATTTTTTACTGGATGGATGGGGAAAATCTGAAGATCACAGAGAAGAAATTCTAGGTTTCTTAGACCGGGACCTAACCTGAATTCTCCATCTGGATTGCAGAGACTGAAGGAAAATTGATCTTGGGCCATACATAGTTTTTTTGCATTGCTTCAGTTATGTAACTAAGGCATGGATCTCTTTTTGATGTTGTATATTACTGGTATTTGGGGAGTTGTTTTTGTTTTTCCTTTCCCAAATGTGACATAGACCACGATAAATTCCCCTGACTGTGGAAACCCCAGACCGGACATGGCATGAACACATTTAGGATATAACCCTCCCTGTTGGATTGAGAGAATGTGGTAGCAGCCAGGATAAAGAAAATGACCTGGCTGTCAAATTGTTATATTTGTTTGCAGCCTCTGTTGCACATCTCTCCTTAAAACAAAATTAAACCAACAAAACGTATATCCATTTACAGAAAGAGTAGGGAATCTGGAGAAAATCCTTCAAGGGCAAATTAATTAAAAAAATTTCAGTTGACATTAAGATCATACAAGAGTTCCAGTAGTTCCAATATCAGACTGAAAATGACTCACTTGATTTTATTATTAAGATCTAAAATCTTTATTTTGACATATATAACATGGTCTTAAAAATAGCGATTTTTCTAATGTTTAAATTTGTTGCTTGAGGGAATTGAGACCCAGGCTGTATGTGAGGTACAGGACAAGTCTAAGCTTACAGAGTTAGTCTAGTTATTTCTAGCAGACCGCTAAGGATTTTGCATTTCTGGTGTGGGTCTGGGGTATTATGCCCATACTTCATGTCTTCATACACTCCAATGACTTGAAGTGTATTAGCAATAATAGAAAATACAGAAAGTACTGAAAACTTCAAACAGTTGTGAATGAGCAGCAAGATTCTGTCAGGTACTGACCGACAGCAAGAAGATTTTAAAAACTGTATCTAAAAGAAAGAAAGAAATTAGGACCAAAGAGAAAGAGTGAGGACAGGGAAGAGAATAGGTGGCAGGCTTTGCACCCTGAGTTCTAAAGCACTGGGGGGCTGAGCTGGTGCCTGACCTCACAGGCACCACGGCCCTCTGGACCTGACACTTACCCCGGCTTTCAGCTTTTTATGTTGGCTTCTCCGACCTGGGCCGCTCTCCACATGAGGACGCTCTGGGGGATTTCTGGGCTGACTCTGCTGTGGTGCTCTACATTTTAGGAGGGCGTCATCACGGAATCCGAGGTGCGCTGTGTTGTTCACTGTGAAAACCCTTTGAAGCACCCGGGATCCTGCTGCCCCACATGTCCAGGTAACCTCTGGGGAGGCTGGAGGGCTCCCTGGTGTGAGTATGGCTGTTGTCTCAGAAATGCGTGATTCCTCCCTCCCCCTGCCCTGCCCACCCGGATGGGATTTTCCTCACTTTACTTGTCTGTGCACCTAAAGGTTGTAGAGAGGAAACTCCTTTGCACTGAAATGCCCGCTTGGCCTCCTTGGTGTGCCCTGTACGAACACACGGTGCTGGAGGTCTTGGCATGGGCTTCTCCGGGCCCGGGAGGCCTGCTTTCCACTCCACAGGGCCACAGGTAATGCTTATTTTGGAAGAAAAGGCTGTGGCTTTCCCTTGCTTCCAGAAATGTCTTTTTACTGCTTCATATTGCAATACCTTGGCCAGAGCTTGCCGTGGTGATGAGGTGACCAGATGTTTTCTGAAAACTCCGAGCTGTGTCCCTAAGCGAATTTAGCTTAGGGTTTTGCTGCTCTCACTTTTTGCTACAGTTCAACAAGTTGGGCCTTCTATCTTTTTTAGAGGGCCCTGCTTCCTAGCTGACAGCAGAGGGATCTTTTCTTCCAGTGGCTGGAATGTTTCCTCTTATGTTTCTGAACAGGATTACAAAGGCCTGCTGCATCTTTCCCTGCCCTTACATACAAGTCTGGGGATTTTGAAGTGAGAGATTTTTTTCCTGATCTCTTTAAGCCACTGGTCCACGGTCTTAGACAAGTGCTCTGCGTTCCGGGTTTTCTCTGGGTGCTTTTCCTCATTGGGGGTGAGACTCACAACTACTACTTTGCTTTTGCGGTTAATCTCTAAAGGACCTTCTGTTCTTGGAAACTTTCTATAAAGTGGGTATGGCACCCTGGTGCAATGCTCCCCAGAGATGAGCCCCTGTTCCTCTCCCACCCATCTGGCCTGCTGCTTTCCGGGGGGTGGGGGGTGTTTGAATGCATGGTAGACCTGAATCCTTTCAGATGTCAATCTTTCCTCAACTTGAATGACAAAGACAGCCAATTTTCACTGCTTCTAACCTTCCTCAGCTCCCTGGGCACTCTTCCTTTTCACACTGGGATTTCTGTAAAGCTTGTATTGTTCAAGCAGTTTACAAGTTTGAAATCAATTTTTTATTGCCCCATAACCAGTTGTTTGGTGTCTATCAAGTGGAGTTTGCTTGAGGACTTTTTCACCATGTGATTGTATTAAATGGTTTGTATTATGTAACCATATCCCTAAATGCCTCCGTACCTAGGCTTTAGGCATTAGGTTGGATCAGTAGTTCTCTTGGCTGCATGAAAGGATCACCCAGGTCCTGGGGAGCTTTGAAAACTGAAACTCAATGCCAAGGTTGTATCCCACACCAATCCCATCTGAATCACTGGGGAACCCCGAGGAACCTGTGGTCTCCCAGATAATTTCCGTATATGGCCAAGCTTGAGACTGATAACAGAGCAACTTTCATATGACATGTAGATTTAAAAATTATCATAGCTCTTAAATATGAATTCAGTTGTGGTTAGTGGTCTTTGCTTTATGGACTCAGGGCGCCCTCCACTCACAGCCGCAAGACTCTTAAAAGAGCAACAAGCACGACAGAAACACTGGATACCTCCTACCATGTAGAACATCCTTCTCGCCCAGGAGATACTTGTATTTTCAGGCTGCCTTTGAAACTGTGGGGACACAAACAGCAGAGTGAATTTATTTCAGCACTTGAAGTTATCACATTTGAGCAGTTGCTTCTTGGTCGAGTTCCCAGGAAGGAAAGGGCTGAGCTCCACAACTCCTCCTTCTACAGTGCTGAGGCCTCACAGCCATCCAGCGAGGGGTGAGGTATTGTCCACTGTTCCTACAGAAAGAAATATGACCCAGTGAGCATTGCCCCTGCCTGAGGGCCATGAGTGAGCAGTGAGGGGCAAAAGTGGGGTTGGCACCCTGCCCCGCCTGTCCTCTTGCTACTGTGCTATGCCACCTCCCACACCCACACACGCCATAGACTGTTCTGCTTCAGCCTAGGAGCTCTGCGGAGCAGATCTTCTTTGGAAGTTTGCGTGCCAGTTCCACACAATAGCACCCAACACTTGGGAAGATTCTGTCTTAGTTATGGGGCCAGAAGTCAGTTTAGCGTCCTCTTCTTACTTCCTAAGGCCAGCCTTTGGGATGCAAATCAAAAGATCCAGGAGGAGCTGTCTCCAAGGTTACTCTGTCTTGGGAGGGGGGGAGGCCTTGAGCAGTCTAGGGAAGGCAAGGGGCATCTTGGGGTATTCTCCTTGGTCAGCCAGAGGATAGGCCTCTGTCATTGATCAGGGAATGGTATTCTGCATAATAACAAACACGTACAGTCTGTGGCCAGTGTCTTCCTGAAACAGATGGCGGAACATTCGTGGTTGTCTGCTCCTTCTGTTTTGTCTGACTCTTGGCTCAGGGATGGTGGGTTTTCCTGGGAACAGTTTGCATGGAGTTTTCCCTTAAACTGAAATCTGTGTGACAGAATATGTGGTGCAAGCATATATGTAAGATTTAAAGACACTTAGTTGAAAGTGTTCTTTGGAGACAATCCTGAGATGCAGCCACAGGGAGGGACCTATGCTGACCAAGTCTTCCTGTGTCACTGAGAATAGCAAGGAGGTGGGCTGGTTGCTAACTCTGGATGTGGGTATCAAAAAGAGCTTATTCCTGGGGCCTTCTTCAAAAACCACACTTTCACTTGGCAATTGAGCTTCAGGTTCAGTACATCTATCTACATGTCTTTGAACAAAGGGCTCCTAGATTTGAGCTGAATAAGGTCAGTGGCAAGATCAGGTGGGGTCAATGCTGATTTTCTCTTGTCAGAAAGCAGCTGTCCAACAGTTTGGTGGCTTCTGCTGACAGCATTAGTTGGCAGAACTTGAACACTCATTCTCTGGAGTGTGACTCAGTTCTACACAAGAGCCAGCTTTGCCTGTTGCTGGCCACTGTCTACGATGTGGAAAGTGACCTCAGCTATCCTGGCCAAGCATCTCCCATGGCTCATGTGATGGGAGGTTCCTGTCCAGCCTGTGTCTCAGGTCATCTGTGACCTTTCTCTAGAATATGGCAGTGTCCTGAGCATCTTTATAAGTGGGGACACCTCTTGGGTTTTAGTCCTACAGTAGCCAAAGTTGGAGGGGGCCATAGCCCCTTTGACAGAGAGATGGCTGGGCTAAAAACCAGGATGGCACCTTTTTGCCCTACCTCTGCTTCTTCTCACCCTTGTGCCTGGACCTCTGCACAGGGCAGCAGGTGGCTCAGAACTGAGTTTATATCCCAGGTCCCCCACCTGCCAGCTGGGTGAATGACTTGCCCTCTCTGTGCTGCATTTTTCTCTTCTGTGGGCAGAGTGCTAAGAGTCCCCACTTTGTAGGGTCCCTGGGAGCCTATGGCCTGGTGGAGGCTGTGGCCTTCCTGGGTGCTCACCACATGGTAGCCTTTGCATTATCTGCTCTTGAGCTTTTCTGGCCCACGTTGGGGTTTGGCTCCCTAGCAGTGGTCAGCAGGCTCCCGTGGGGTTTGGCCCCCTGGCAGTGGTCAGCAGCCTCCCGTGGGGTTTGGCTCCCTGACAGTGGTCAGCATGGCCACTATGCAGCTGCTCAGATGCCCTGCAGGGCTCACTGTGCTGCACGCTCCTTGCTGGGTTGAGCGGACTTGGGTTCCACTGATTTCTCTGTTTTCCAGCATCTTTGGGGTTTCTCGTCTCATGTCAAGCCCCCTACCCCGCTTTAGAGCAATCTTGTCCCCTGGTTAAAGAGGACACCTCCTGGATAGAGGTACAGATGCAAGAACAGCAGACAGAAGGATCCCGTCAGGCTGGACAAATGTTTCTCTGCTTTCCAGGCTGCGAGTTTGAAGGTGTGCAGTACCGAGAAGGAGAGGAATTCCAGCCGGAAGGAAGCAAGTGCATCACGTGCTCCTGTGCGGTGAGTCCTGCTGGGGGTGCTGACGAGTGCCCCTTCAGGTTGACTGCTGCTCACGCTCACCGCTCACCATGAGCTGCCCTGAGCTCCCCGTGCGCCCTCCCCTGTCAGGAGAAGCATCCTTCTCTCCTGATGTGGGGCCAAGAGAAAAACGATTGCCCACTACCGATGTTCTGGGCTGGGTAAATTCTTTTTTGTGGGGTGTCCTGTGCACAGTAGGGTGTTTAGCAGCACCCCTGGTCTCTACCCACTAGATGCCAGGACACTACATTTGTCTCTCTTTTTTTTAGACAGAATCTCACTCTGTCATTCTCAGTAGAGTGCCATGGCATCATAACTCCACAGCAACCTGAAACTTTGGGGCTCAAGAGGTCCTCTTGCCTCAGCCTCCCAAGTAGCTGGGACTACAGATGCCCACCACCATGCCTGGCTAATTTTTCTATTTTTAGTAGAGACAGAGGTCTCACTCTTGCTCAGGCTGGTCTTAAACTCCTGAGATCAAGCAATCCACCTGCCTCAGCCTCCCGGAGTGCTGGGATCTCAGGAGTTAGCCACCATGCCTGGTTAGGACACTGCAGTTGCACTGTTAACCCCCAGACTCAATTCAAGCACCACTCTGAGAGTCCGAACATCACTGCAAAGGCACGAGGAATTTTATTCATTCAAGCTTAGAGCCTGGGATGCCCTTTAAGAAAAAGCAGGAACAGCCCTTACAGACTATCCAAAAAGTCCCTTTATACCTCTCCGTCTTCCCTCCCATTAGACCATCCCACCCCATCCCCTTATTGGTAGATAAACCATGTCTGTCCTAAACTGACAGGTACAGGGTGGTCGTGTTCAGGGTTGACTGGCTCAGGGATGAGTCTTCTTTGTCTCAGGTGAGCGAATGAGAAGGAAGGGGTAAAGGTCGCAAGTGGGGTGAGTGCAGAGTAGAGTGGCGAGTGCAAAAAGGGGAGGGGGTCAGGATGTGGGCTGAGTGCACAAGGGGGCTAGTGGGACAAAGGGGAGGGGGTCAGGATGTGGGCTGTAACACCTAGGTATGATAAGGTCCTTGGTATGCAATGGCCTGTTGTTCTGAATAAACAACAAAAGGAGGTAGTTTGACTTGTGACTTGAGTTAATTAGTTTGGCTCCCACAGCACCACCAATAATGTCTGCAGGCATTGTCCAGTGTCCCCTGGGGGGCAAACTCACTCCCAATTGGAACCATCATCTGCTCCATCTTGCAAATCTGCTCTACTCTGGAACCGCTACTCTAAAGAGTGAAGGAGAGAAATTGATTTTCTTCCGCCAGCCTCCTTTGGGAAGACCATGGGTGGATGTTCTGTTCCTTGGGGCTGGGCAGCTTTTTGCTGAGGCAGCCACTGAGTTTTTTAGGGCAAATGGAAAGCAACAGGGATGAGCACGGCTTGTGACCATGCATCCTAAGGGCTGAGAACTTGACCTGAGCCGAGTCAGGACAGGACTAGGACAGGAGATAATTGCCCCAAATCATGGATCAGGGCAGAGGAGGGTTTAGTGAGACAAAGCCATGAATTGTCTTCTAAGTATTGACTTTTAATCCATAGACTACAGATAGATTCAACAAGTTTAGGACTGAAAAAAAGGAACTCTGTGTGTGTTACAATTTTAAAGAAATCTACTTTATTCATGCAGTTCAAATTTAGGGTAAGATCATTGGTAGTGGTGGAGGTGGTGATGGTAGTGATGGAGAATCTCATCTTAACCAGCTGCTCCAAGGTACTTACAGTAAGGAGTTAGTACACCATGTATTTTTAAAGTTTTGAACCTTTTGTAATAAAGAAAATACATTTTCCAAGTCACTTGTGACTCAGTATGCATCTCAGAATACTGAAAAGAAAATGCAGGGTGAACTCTAGAATCCCCAGTCTCACCAAAGCAGAATCACGTGTGGATTATCATAAATCAGAGCAGTTGTCATCTCTCTACCCATCTTTCCTGAAATCCTCCCTCCTTCCTGTAGGAACAGATGCACCCAACCTCGAGTGTCCAAATTAGAGTAAACATGATCAAGGGCGATGGTTTTGTATGGGGAGAAGGCGGAATGTAGGGGGAGAAGAAGGAGGGGAAAGAGGGTGCATATAATAGATGGATGGATAGACATAAAGCATTTGTAATAACATGTACAGTATACATCATATACATAAAGATATCTAAAAACCAGTAAAGTATTTCACTAATGAAAAGGAACACAATCTTGCGTATTTCAACTCAATTTACATTATTTTTCATCTCTTGCTAATTGTGGCTAAATGGCTTTATGTAATTTTTTACGTAAATGATTTCATTTGTCATTAAATGGCTCCCGTTTCTCAATTTTATTTCTTCCATACTGGACTATAAAGTTTTCTGATTTTTAAAAAATTAATCCCATTTTGGGGGGAGTAGATTTGAAGAAAAACAAATCATATTTCAATAGGAAATTGTAAATTTCCTGAAAGAATTATCTTTCAGGCTCGGCGCCTATAGCTCAACCGGCTAAGGCGCCAGCCACGTACACCTAAGGTGGCGGGTTCGAATCCCCAGCCCGGACCCGCCAAACAACAATGACGGCTGCAACCAAAAAAAATAGCCGGGCGTTGTGGCGGGCGCCTGTGGTCCCAGCTACTTGGGAGGCGGAGGCAGGAGACTCGCTTGAGCCCAGGAGTTGGAGGTTGCTGTGAGCTGTAATGCCATGGCACTCTACCCAGGGGGACAGCTTGAGGCTCTGTCTAAAAAAAAAAAAAAAAAAGAATTATCTTTCAGAGAAAGGTGTGCCAGGAGGAGGTGGCTAGACCTCCCTGGGGAGGAAATTTAGGAGGTGACAAGAAGGATGAAATGTTCCTGCAGTTGTACCAGTGACGGTCTTTTTGAATTATACAGGATCAGAGCTGGAAATGAGCTTAGAGGTTATGTGTGCAGGAGTCACAGACCTGAATATACTGAGGCATTCTGATTTCATATGGTTTTGAATGCAGTGCATGTGAATGAAACACACCTGACGTTAAGTTCGGGCCCCTGGAGGTCTTGCTTTCATTTTTGATTGAAAAGAATCGAAACCCAGAGATTTTTCACTTGCCCAAGTTTTCCTGCTTAGTGACTTCTCTCCAGCCCTAGACTCCATCCCTTTCTCATATCCTTATATTCTGATTTCCTGTTTTCCTGAATTCTTTCTAGTTCTCTGCATTGCTGTCCTAAGCACTTAAAAGACAACCATTGGCTTTGATTATGTTCCTGATGTCAGTCATTAGACTAATTGAACACTTGGGAGAGAGGGTGGAGTCCTTGCTTGAGGATAGGACATTTGCGTGCAGGCTTGGGTGTAAGGAGGCTCATAAGAGCCGTTTTTCTCTCATGAACACAAATATGGGAGGTATACGCTTTCTTTTTTTTTTTTGTAGCTCATTATTAAAATAACTTGGTTCTTAATATTCTTTCATTTTGCTATCTTTTGATGTAGTACACTTAAAAAACGTAATGTCTTGGCAGCAAATAGCCCTGTCTTGAGAGTGGTAACTGTGGAGCTGTTTGCTTTAGAATGGAATATTCCAAATGTATGGCCTGGCTCTGTGACTGTGAGGCGCGCAGCTTGCCAGTGTTGCCCTGGCAGCTGGCTTGGAAGCTTTGGCGTGTAAGGTGTGTGGAGGTGCGAGGCCCCTTCTTGCTGAGTGTGAGTGCAGAGCTGCAGAAGGGCTTTAGACGGGAGCTGTGTGAGGCCAAATGCTGCACTGCGGAGGTCACGGGGAGGGGTGTTCTGTATGTTGGCTGCAGGTTCCCCTGTGCAGAAGACCGTGTGTAATAGCTTGTGCTTTGAGAAGTCAGCTCATTCATGCATTTGAGTGTCTGGATAGTATTCATGCACATATAGGTTTGTGTGTGTAGACATGTATATTTATAATGGCATATATCTCTATACACATAGTACAAATACATATAAATATGAATGCAAACATACATATTTACATGTCTAAGTTTGGATTCCCTCAGAAACACTCCCTGAGACAAGTATTTGTATGTAAGTAGTTTGCTTGGGAGGTAGAGAAGACTCCTGTGGGAGAGTGGAGGTGAGATGAGGAGGGGAGGCAGCCAGATGAGCAATTTTTTTTTTTTTTGACCTGAAGTCTCTCTTTATGGCCCAGGCTGGAGTGCCACGGCATCAGCCCAGCTCACAGCAACCTTAGACTCCTAAGTTCAAGTGATCCTCCTGCCTTAGCTGGGACTATAGGCACCCACCACAATGTTCAGCTAATTTTTCTATTTGTTGTAGAGACAGAGTCTCACTATTGCTCTGGCTGATCTCGAACTCCTGACTTCAGGTGATCCTGTCTCTGCCTCCCAGAATACTCTACTAGGATTACAGGGGTAAGCCAATGCACTCAGCCCGTTTGAGGAATGTTAGCTGAGTGCTGTGGTCTTAATGTCTCCTAAAATTCATGTGTTGAAACTTAATTCCCAGTGTGCTGGTAATAAGAAGTGGGACCTTTAGGACGTGGTTCTGCCATGAGGTCTCTGCTCTCATGAATGGATAAGAGTCCTTTATAAAGGAATCGAGGCATGGAGTTCATTTCTCTTGACCTTCTGTCCCTTCTGCCATGTGAGGACACAGTGTCCCTTTCCTCTGGAGGGTGCAGCAGTGAGTCCTTATCTTGGAAGCAGAGAGCAGCCCTCATCAGATACCAAACTCGCCAGCCCTTGACCTTGGATTTCACAGCCTTCAGACTTGTGAGAACTAAATTCCTGTTCTTTATAAGTTACCCAGTGTCAGGGATCCTGTTACAACAGCACAGGTGGATGAAGACACTAAGTGAGCTACCACTGTGTGTGACCAGAGCTTCGTCCTGCTGGGACGAAGCACAGATTCATGCTTCAGAATTTTTTTCACCTGAGTGAAGAGAGCTGAAATATGTTGTATACACCATCTCCAATCATTCATTGGCTTTCCCAGGGGGTGTTGATCGGGTAACATTTCCAGCCCCCACTGAGGGGGAGAGGTGGCTTTTAGT